GCCGACTTCAGCTATCGAATGAAGTCTCAATAGCCGAGGCAGAGGCCATTAAGAGCATTATAAATGAAGATCAGGTTTCGAATAAGGGACAACAACTTGCTACTCATGTCAAACAGGACGAGCCGAAAATTCGACCAAACCTTGTTTTAGGCATTCATGATGATCATTCGAGGCCACCAGAGGTGCATAGTCCTTTGTCCATCTTCCCTAAACCCGCCGACGGTCATATAGTATTGAGCATGACGCAAAATGTAAACTTGGGATCGAATCTAAGTCTCCGGTAGATGAAAACACTCAATTGATGTCATCGGCCCACATGCCATCAACACAAACCGCAGAACCTTTAATGAGTACTTTGCAGCAATTAGTTCAAGTGCAAACAAAACAAGCAGAGTTAAGCGCATTGTTAACTAAGCAACACATCACGAATCATCTTCTTGTCGAGGAACCGCCAACATTTAGCGGGAACGTATTTGACTATCCTTCATTTGTTACAGCCTTTGATTCTATTATTTGCGATAAAGTTCCAACTGGAAAGGATGGTCTTTACTTCTTAAATAAATATACTGTCGGACAGGCTAATGAAGTGGTGAAAGGTTTTTTAGCTGTTAATTCAGATAATGCTTATCAAGAGGCCCGGAAATTGCTCAATGAACGTTTTGGTAATCCAGTGCATGTGGCAGAGGCCCACAAGTCTAGGTTACATAATTGGTCAACAATTAAGGACGGATATAGTACCGGATTGCGCTCCTTTTCTGATTTTTTGATTCGATGCCAAGAGGCTGTAAAAACCGTGGGGTCATTGAATGAACTTGACTCAACTCAGACATTGTCAAAGATAAGTTCTAAGCTTCCCTCTTATTCAGTATCAAGTCTAAAAATGACAGATAAATTTAGTAAATATATCCAAGGTGTTTTGTATCTATCATCTATCAGTTCATCCGGCAGCGGGCACCATTGAGGCACAATTAGCTGGCCCTGAGCTGCCTTTAGCCAACATTAGTTCGGACCCGACTCACAACACAGCATCAAAAGACAAGTTTGATGCTCATAGTCATGAACAATCTTATGAATTTTTCGATCCAGAAAACACTTCCCTGCAAAAATGGTCTCCTTCAAAGCCCTTCCACGCATTTCTTGAAAAGAACCTTAGACAAAAAAATACTTCATTACGTCCCAAACAACCATTGTAAGTCGGTTGAGAATCATGACAAGGATTTAAACCTCATTCAGCGTGCCTTGTTAAACTTGGCCGCACCAATCTGTCGCTTACATGACCATCTAGAATGAAAGAAAATGCTGTTTAACAACCAAGAACAATAGGAATTAAATTGTGTAAACATAACCTAAATTGGTATTTATATGTATCTGTTCCATGGTGGAAATTATACTGGTACATCAAAACAACAGAGTATATTTTTGCCAATATTTTGAACCTTTTGAAAATAAGGAGTACAATCTAAGTAGTAATTTAATTAAGAGAACAGTGATTATTAACAAAAATTGCCGGCTTTTGCTAAAAATTGCCGGCTTTTGATTTTTAGACTTGATACTGAATAAGAGGGAAGCTTAGAACTTATCTTTGACAATGTATGAGTTGAGTCAAGTTCATTCAATGACCCCACGGTTTTTACAGCCTCTTGGCTATTGCTTCAGTGTTATGACACAATTTGAGTTGAGTCAAGTTCATTCAATGACCCCACGGTTTTTACAGCCTTTTGGCTATTGCTTCAGTGTTATGACACAATTTGATTTGATCATATTTTTCCTTTTGAAAGAGTAATAGTGATATCCCCCACTTCAGAGACAGAAGTAATTAGTATGCAAAGGCCTGCTGCGTCATTATGTATTCATGGCTTAATTAATGTCTTGCTCCTTTAAGACCTTAACCCTAATTTATTACCATTCAACCCAGCTCACATCCAATTATAACCTAAAGATTATGTCACTCATTTCCACTCTGTTAAGAGTTCATTATATATTCACAACAACTTTGAGTTCATTTTTCCTTTTGCAAACCACGCAAGTTTTGAGATTTTTATTACTTTAAAATACAAAATGCTAGGATGGCCGAGTTGGTAAAGACATTAGGCTTAAGTTCTAATGTACATTTCACTTTGTGGGTCCGATGCATTTATGCATACGTTACTGGTAATAGATTTTAATGACAAGATGAACCAGAACATGCTTGCCTCCAAACGTGCTTACATGGAGTGCCTGCAATCTCTATGTTTTGAAAGTTTTGGGTTTGCGACAAGAGCAACCCTAAATGTTATTAATTCCTTTGCCCTGAACAAGATCGTGCCCTGACACACCCTGACAGTTGATTTCCCTGACACACCTATGATGATGTGGAGGGCAAATGGTGCGATTCATCTGCTGTGTGATACCCACCAAAGACCAACCAGGTTGAATACATAGGCACAAACAAACTGTTATTAAGTAATTGTGAACATAAGTTTTAATAGATTGTATAACATAATGCATAGCACAGAGTGAAACTATGTGTGCATATAAATACACCTATAAACTTTTTTTTTTTATTTCATAGCTGCTGTACAATTTATATATTGATTACATGGGGGAATTGCCGATGGCGTCATGCATGCACCAATATAAAGCTATGTTATTTTCGAAGTGTTATTTTAACACCAGTTTAAGGGATTCTAGGGGTGTAATAGGGGTGTTACAAAATCCAACTCCATAGTTGGAGTTTTAACTAACACTATTTGAAGAGTTGAGGATTTGAAAAACTAGTTAGGCTGTCACCTTGGCTGCTCTATCTTGCAAGTCCGTTGCACATGTCGCGAGACTAAATAATTCTGCTACAATACAATGCATATTAGCCTCCTCGTTCATAAAATACAAAGCCCCTGTTGACTGGTGTGCACAATAGGTAGAAAATATAAACTATGGATAATATCCATCGATGTTTACACTTTGGTCCATCTTGAAATTGCGCATGTTTCCATTACAACATACTTGCCATGCAGGTAGGTATCAAAACAACTAGTGTGAAGCTACCACAGGATTCACCACAGGATTCGCTCTTCCTCCAAGAACAACAAAATCGAACATATGCGAAGCTAGCACAATATTCATCCGCACTAAATTCGATACGTAAACACAATATATTGTCGTATTTTTTATTTTGTCATTAAAAACAGGCAGTATATGTAATGAAACTGGTATCGATAGAAAGCTTAGATAACACGGATTCCGAATATGAAATTTTTATCCTGGCCCAAATTCGTCGTCGAATCTTACAGCTCCTAAAACGCCGACGTCTGCCAGCCTGACATTCTAAATCGCATATAATGATGTACGTTAAATGCGCGTTGAAATACGAGCAAAGTACACACCCAAAAACGGCTTCCTATTTAATGAAACTGGTATCAATAGAAAGCTTTGATAACACAGATTCCGAATATGTAATTTTTATCCTGGCCCAAATTCGTCGTCGAATGTTACAGCTCCTAAAAGGCAGACGTCTGCCATCCTGACATTCGAAATCGCATATAATGATGTACCTTAAATGCGCGTTGAAATACGAGCGAAGTAAACAATAAAAACGGCTTCATCCCCGAGCCGGCAGCCGGCGCGAAGCGCCATACGAGGGTATTAATTCCGCTGGGAGATTTATTACACCCGGGTATTGTGACAGAACATATCGGAATCCAAGGTTGCTCAAATTCTATGTCGTGGACCGTGAACGTTCAATGGTCATGGTACTTGTGCGCATGCGTGAAATGTGAACGAGTGTAGACTGGTAATCAACGAACGTTCTGATTGGCTAAGACAGAAAGTTTGCAATTCAATGAGAACGTCAGCAATTTTTAAATGACAGTTAAAACTGTCATTTCGTAAACATTTTTGTAAAAGCGTTTCATAAACTTTGTGCAAAGAAAGTAAAACGAGAAGAAACAAGATATATGAAGCATGACAGATACCAAAGATGAACGTGGATACAGTCAAAACAAAGCTGTGTAAGAGGAATAATTCATAATCTGCAAGCTTATAAATGTTTTCAAAGACAAAGGGTACGTGTTTACTTTGTTTATCTCGTACTTGTTTCGCGGTAAGAATGAGCCGTATTTGTATACTTTTCAGCTTTGTATGCCGTTCATTTGTTAAATTTTCAGCTTTTTCTGCAAACGCATAAACCTGTGAAGGGCTATTACACCTTTGCTTTAACTTCAAAAAGTGTTTTTGAAAGTGTAATTTGAATTTTGGTATAAAAAATACACACTATATTTATAAAGTATACTGAAACTTTAGCCGCCGACGTTGACTGCAATGGGCGACTTGCGCCTTTCGCAAAGCATCACGGTAGTTTAGTTAGGCCAGTCGAATTTACCAAGATGGAGGTCGTTCTTGTGCGATCGCCGTTTGCAGTGAACTACAACACTTTTTCGCAGATATTTATCACTTATGTCTACGGTAAAAGGTTATAAAAACTCTTAGAGAACTGATATGTCGTAGAAGGCCAAAGTTGGGACTGTACTTGCTTTGGATATTAAGATATTTAGCGTGATTTGACGGGGAGTAAAATACAAATAGGGCTTCGATTTACAATGTGCAGGACAAGAATTGTATTTTTAACCCCTTTAGGAGGTAAGTTCATCACTAAAATTTCTATATAATATGTAAGGGAAACAGGATGCTATAATACAAAACGCGTTTCTGCGATCGGCGATTATGTACAAAATTTATGGCCGTGAATGTTGTTTTTACAAATGAGCTTACAACTACACATGCTTTGATCAAGCGTTCTATTTCAAACCAAAACAACTGTAAACCTTTGGCGGGAAAATATCCTAAAATTGTCTCAGACTGTTAAAGTAAAAGTATTTTCAGAAGTTTAAAAGCATATTTTGATATTTATTCACTGGGTATATCTATTGGTTTACTCCTTTGGAAAAAACGCAAACTCGTGCGTTGTTATTGTTTACATATTCGTCGCGGTTTCATTTAAATTTGGCGAATTTCCGGCCGAAAAAATGGAGCAAAAAGCGGAGAAACTTTGTTCAAAATTACCTGGAGGGACTACCTGTTGTGTGCCTAAATGCTCAAGTAATAGTGTGAGAACACCTGGTGTTTCATTTCACAAGTTTCCAAAGGAGCCGAGTTCGAAAGAAACGTGGTTAAATCTATTGGGAATTTCAAAACAACCGTTAAAAAGCCACAAAGTTTGCTCCTTACACTTTCCTGGTGGTAAAAAAGTATTGGGGGCTCTGCCCAGGTCTAGTTCATTTTCAAATAGACAAACGTCCAATAGTAAATGTGGAAGAATTGTAACTGAAAATATGAAGCGAATAAGCACTACACAGCACGCAGGGAAACATGACATGCAACAAACAAATGAAATAAGTGAACTTTTTGCACTAAAATCCGAACTTGAACAGCTAAAAAAAGAAAATGCATCTTTGAAAACTAAACATGATGAGCTATCTACCAAATACAAGTTATGTGCACTACGTTTAGAACATGTAATAGCTAGTGATGCGAACTTCAAATTCTACACCAGTTTTCCCAACTATACAACTTTCAAAGCCTTTTTCAACTATTTGCAACCAGCTTGTAATCTTTTGATGTATGCGGGAACAAAAAATTCACAACATGCATCAGAGACACAAGCAAAACGTGGTACACAAAGGAGCTTAACACCTGAACAAGAGTTATTCATGGTTTTGGTTAGATTGCGCTGTGGTTTATTGGGTCTTGATGTTGCTAATCGCTTTGGCATTTCACCAGCCCAGTATTCTCGAATTGAAACAACTTGGCTAGCTTTCCTTTATCACAGGCTAAGAGCTCTACCTATTTGGCCTTCACGTCAATATATTCAAAACACTATGCCAAAAGCTTTTAAAGATTCCTACCCAAATACACGTGTTATCATAGACTGCACTGAACTTTTTATCGAAAGACCCACATCATTTCGTAGTCAATCCGCAACCTATTCCTCATATAAAAACCACAACACAGCAAAGGGGCTAATTGGCATTTCACCTGCTGGATACCCTACATTTATTTCAGAGCTTTACACTGGTCGCTCTAGTGACAAACAAGTCACCAGAGACTGTGGTATTTTAAACTTGTTAGAGGCAGGTGATGATTTGATGGCAGATAAGGGCTTTGATATAGAGGATGAAATGCCTGAAGGGGTAAAACTGAACATACCCCCTTTCCTAAATAATCAGCAGCTCTCTATTCAGGCAGAAAATGAGACAAGAAAAATAGCCGCAGTTAGAGTTCATGTGGAACGTGCCATTCAACGAATTAAATGTTTTCGGATTTTAAAGAATGTGTTTCCTTTGAGTATGGCATCAGAGTTAAATAAAGTATGGGTCATCTGTTCCTACTTGACACTATTTCAGCCACCTCTAATCAATTCTAATTCTGAACAGGAGTAAATGAACAAACAATAACAGTTCTACAGTTTTTACGCTTTATTTGTTCACTAATTTAGGGTATATGTATGTGAAGTAAAATGATGTTAATTTTGGGAGCATAGTTTTATTCCATAATTCAGTGTCAAAATATATTCGTTCACTGAAAAGGTCATTTTCTGTATATACAATCAAATCAGCCCATTCAACATTACAAGTAGCCATCAAGCCTTGTATTTGATAGAAGTAGTTATGGTTTCTCTTTAATGTAGGTTTTGATTTGTGCTCAAGAAAGAATGTAGGGTCATCACATGCACTGTCAATTGTCATTTCCTTTTTTGAAAAAGGACACTTGACTTCCCCAATTCCATAATTTGTGCACTCAGTAGGATCATACAGCAAGCAATCAGGACTAGCACCAAGCCATGGAACTTGACCATTTACAATGAAGCCACATGACACACATGCTTTGATCAAATTATTGTTTTGGTTGCATTTTTCTATGTATTCTTTGATGGCAATTTCTTCCTTGTTTTGACCCCATAAACATGCTTTTGGCACACTTTTGGTGCAATTGGAATTAAATTGTTTATTCAAAATTGTTTTTGGGTGAATGCTCTCTCTGCGCTTCAAAACAGAACCAAAATTTGATGCTGTTAATCTTATGCGACGTTCTTGATACCATAATTCATCATCTGACTGCCCTCTTGTATTGCATTCAATGTTTTGTATCTGCTCTTTGGATTTGTATAAGGTTTCAAAAACAAATTCATTGTATTCTGGGGATGGTATGTGTTTGTTTAAGTTAGTTTGATCTGTTGTGACCTGGTTTAAAATTGCATCTCGTACTTCCACAGCATTTAGCTGATTGGTGTTGCAGTGAACTTCATAAAGTTTCCTTTTTGTAGGTAACTCATTGAGATAATTATCATAATCAAAGGGTTTACACTCATTTGATTCTAGGAGATTTTGTAAATAGCTGCATGATCCAGCACTTTTTAATTCTTTGTTCAGTTTTTGAATATCACTCTCTGTCACAGTTTGAGCAAATGCTGGAGCTGGGTTACTAATTTCAATTAAATGAGATGAACTTTTTGTAGATGTTGCCTTGCTAAATTTTACACTATCAAAAAGTATGGCTGTTTTGATATTTTCACAACTAGGTACATGCCATTCTTGTAAGAGTTGCGTGCATGTTAAATCATCTGGGACCTCTGTAAGTTCAAGTTCAATGAAGTCCAGCATTTGAAATAAAGCTGCAGCAACATGTTTACAGCAGCCACCATTTCCTGCTACACAAGTGCACCTAGCTTCAATCACTTCCCCAGTATCTTGTTTTAGGTGCACATTAACTGAATATTCAATCTTTTTCATTGAAGCATGTACAGTACACTTAAGATAAAAAAGCATTCCTCCTAGGTGAAGTACATTAGGGATAACTTTAACCTTAGAAACCATTTTATCTTTGAACAACTGATAGCCATATTTCTTGTGTTTGTGTGCATTTGGTTGTTTGGCCTTCGGGCTTTTTTGGGATGTTTCACCAATTAAATGTCGCTCAAGAAGTTCACGAGTAAAAGGAGGGATATCCTGAAGACTTCGGGTCCATTTTGCACTCAAACAATCCGCTTTTTGCTCCATTTTTTCGGCCGGAAATTCGCCAAATTTAAATGAAACCGCGACGAATATGTAAACAATAACAACGCACGAGTTTGCGTTTTTTCCAAAGGAGTAAACCAATAGATATACCCAGTGAATAAATATCAAAATATGCTTTTAAACTTCTGAAAATACTTTTACTTTAACAGTCTGAGACAATTTTAGGATATTTTCCCGCCAAAGGTTTACAGTTGTTTTGGTTTGAAATAGAACGCTTGATCAAAGCATGTGTAGTTGTAAGCTCATTTGTAAAAACAACATTCACGGCCATAAATTTTGTACATAATCGCCGATCGCAGAAACGCGTTTTGTATTATAGCATCCTGTTTCCCTTACATATTATATAGAAATTTTAGTGATGAACTTACCTCCTAAAGGGGTTAAAAATACAATTCTTGTCCTGCACATTGTAAATCGAAGCCCTATTTGTATTTTACTCCCCGTCAAATCACGCTAAATATCTTAATATCCAAAGCAAGTACAGTCCCAACTTTGGCCTTCTACGACATATCAGTTCTCTAAGAGTTTTTATAACCTTTTACCGTAGACATAAGTGATAAATATCTGCGAAAAAGTGTTGTAGTTCACTGCAAACGGCGATCGCACAAGAACGACCTCCATCTTGGTAAATTCGACTGGCCTAACTAAACTACCGTGATGCTTTGCGAAAGGCGCAAGTCGCCCATTACAGAATAAAATAACATTTGAAGTTTTTTCTTTGTCTGTGAAGATTTTGTGCTGTTTTAATCGTTTGAAACTTCGATTTTAAACCGTTACCTAATTGCTGGCATGGTATAATGCAGCAAAATTGAACGGGCAATGTTTACACTAGCTTTGTGATTATTTTTGTATTGAATGATGGAAACTTTAAGACTGATTTGAGTTTTGTGTCATTTCATAATATAAGTTTAGGTCAGGTTAACTCAGGAAATTGTGTACTTGGTTTGAAATAGCGAGGGGTTGCTGCATGCATGTATTTCTAGTATTTAATGAAACTGGTATCGATAGAAAGCTTAGATAACACAGATTCTGAATATGTAATTTTTATTCTGGCCCAAATTTGTCGTCGAATGTTACAGCTCCTAAAACGCAGACGTCTGCCATCCTGACATTCGAAATCGCATATAATGATGTACGTTAAATGCGCGTTGAAATACGAGCGAAGTATGCACCCAAAAACGGCTTCATATTCAATGAATCTGGTATCGATAGAAAGCTAACAGTTGGGCATTTTGTTCACGCTGACCGAAAATTGCGGGCTTATTTCTTCTTCAATTTGCATTTACAAACATACAGACTTTGGTGCAATATTTTTGCTATTTGCTCTAAAGCATGTTCATAAAAAATTCCCTATCGTTGTTGAGAAAGAAAAGCGGTTTACGATAAGCTAAAATGCGTCAAAATCGGTTACGAAATGGAATGTATTTTCGCTGGCGAAAAATGAAATAATTGCATCTCGAAACCAAATACAGGATTTTTGCCACAGCTACAGAGCTAGTTGGATTTAAGCTGATGTCAAAAAGTAAGTCACATTTGTTCTTCATAAATTAAAATGTCAGTAAAATGTCTTCTAAAGCTCAATCTTGCGGATGACACAGTTGTCAATATACCTCTACTAGCAAATTTTATTGCAAATCGACCCATCTTCATTGAAGTATAGCTCAAAAATTAGGGTATCCTCACACTCTGCAATTAGCCTTAAATCAAAGTTTTATCTATAGTCTTTTTATTAGAATTAAGATTCAACATGGGAAAAATGCACCAAAGGGGTAAAATTGGCATTGTATGTGTCCACAATTTTTGACATGTTTTGTTTGGTATTTTGAAAAGGTCACCTGGAAGGAAAATAAAGCTTGAACAATACTGGTGAGCCTTTAAATTATAAGAAGAGGTATGTAAATTATAGAATTGTGAAAAAACCCAGTCCATTAGCAATGTTTGGGATTCTATAAGGTCTCACATATAGCATATTTAAATTATTGTTGCATTTATATAGAGATCCATTCATAACTCAATAGATCAAGAATTTTACTATCCTCACACTTTGTAACTAATTTTTTCTGTTGGATTTTTCACCTGCCTTTGTGAAAAAAACAGTTTTACGACCACGCAAAATGCGCGCGATACTTTTTAGGAGCAATGAAAAGGATGAAATTAAGTTAAATGTTGCTTTCCACTCTTCAGGGTATAATTTAACTTATTCTAGTGTGTTTAATAAAATTTTTATTTTGTTGGTCAAACTTATGCTCTTTTGCTTTTTTCACCTGATGGTATCTGCTCATATGAATGTTGGTATTAAATTCTGCACAGAATTCACTCTTTTTCCTCTGTTCTCTTTTCCAAGTGCCCAAGTTATTGAAATATAAGATTGAGCAGATGTGATAAATCCTGATTTCTTTAAAAAATAATGAATAACAAGTTTTAAGTGGTAATTTTAGGCAATAAACAACTAATAAATCTGAAGAATGTTATTCTTTGTCGCTGACCACTAATATTAAAGGCTCGCATCTCCACGCATGGTGTGAGTGACCGCGTATAGGAGTTGATGACTAGAGACAAATTTGTTTGGTTTGACCGTTGAGTCGTTGACTAAAATTTTTGAGTTTCGATCGAAGCATTTCGAAAGTTCTATTTTCTTTGAATTTTTAATGTTTTAATTTGTTGTTTTCACCTTATTTTAAAATGTCCATCGGCAGAATGTGTGGAAGAACCCCGTAAGCGATTTAAGTCTGTAAAAAAGGTCGGTTGCGTATGATCGCTTTGGATTGTCCTATAATGTGAACTTTACAATGCAATCGCCCACGAGGTATCCAATCACAAACAGGCAAGTTTCATCAGTATAATTTGAATATTTTTGGTGTTAATGTTTCACAGCTTTTTCACAGCATATTTCTATCTTAAAGTGATTGTTCAAACATTCTAAAATACTTTGAACATTGACTGTTCTGCACAGATGGTATATTAAACAATATTTTTTGTTTTATTCCTTTTTCATTCTTCATTCAAATATTAATTTCATTCTTAGTGTTTTCTCAACAAATATTATGTACAGTATGTAACAGGTAAATAGAATTATTATTATATTTACATTGATTTCATTTATAAATATTGACAAAACAATTTTTGACATCCAGATTACTTAAATGGTTCTAACCTTTTAAATTTTTAGTGTTTTCTCAACAATTGTTATGTACACTATGTAACAGGTAAAAGGAATTATTATATTTACATTGATTTCATTTATAAATATTGACAAAAGAATTTTTGACATCCAGATTACTTAAATGGTTCTAACCTTTTAAATTTTTAAGGCCGGTTTACACGAGCAATTTTTATTTGTCAATTACTATATGTGACAATTTTTT